AAGACAGAAGTGTCAATGCCCTCGTTTATAGTGAACAGTAAATATGAAAGGGTCAATGTCCTTGTATATGATGGACAGATCTTGGACACCTTCACTGATGGAATAACTCTAGTGATAGGATGAAAGGCTGGGCAGTAGCTCATAGATTTTTCTTCAGTTTTGACTACTGAGGTGAGGTGGCTTCCGAGCCGGGGTCCTGGGTTTGAATTGTAATGACACAAGACGCGTAGAAGTTGAATTTAATTGGGTTTTTCCTTAGTGACGTGACGAGTAAATAAAAAGTGAGAACAGAAATAGAGTAGTAACGGACAGGCAGAAGGATACAACGACAGAGAGGACGACGGGACTGTACCCCTTATTTTGTATTAAAGTGTTTGAAGTTTATCAGCTGTGGTTTCTTCAATTTATCTTCTTTATCTAATCTGTTGATTGTGTCTACAACGAACTTGCTTATAACATCAACATCTATGATTTACTTATCAACACACAGACCATTAACAGAATCATGGTGAAGACCGAGATTTTTAATTTCGGTATCTTTGGGCGCCCCTGAGTCCACCCAGCTAAATGGGTACCTGTCATTAGTTGGGAAGAAGTAAAGGCGGTTGGTCGTTGTACTGGCGACATAACACCCTCGTTAACCGTGTGCCACGGGAACAGTTGACCTTTGCATCATCTGCCCTATAGATTGCAAGGTTTGAAAGGAAACTTTTTTTTTTTTACTTTTCATGGCTGGGTATAGCCTTAAAGCAGCAGAGGTTTTGATTTAGAGCTTTCTTTCTCCTAGTTGGGTAGCCAGAGTTTATTTGAGACGATTGCCATTGGAAACATTTTATAGACAGGGGAGTGATTATTTCCATTACAACTTTTGGCAATAACAAACCTTACGGAAACCCTCGTATATAGTGAAAGCCAACATGAAAGAATCAATGCCCGTTTATACAATCATCATCTAACATGAACAAGTCAATGCCCTCTGATAAAGAGAACAGCTAACATGAACAAGTCAATGCCCTCTGATAAAGAGAACAGCTAACATGAACAAGTCAATGCCCTCTGATAAAGAGAACAGCTAACATGAACAAGTCAATGCCCTCTGATAAAGAGAACAGCTAACATGAACAAATCAATGCCCTCTGATAAAGAGAACAGCTAACATGAACAAGTCAATGCCCTCAGATAAAGGGAACAGCTAACATGAACAAGTCAATGCCCTCTGATAAAGAGAACAACTAACATGAACAAGTCAATGCCCTGGTACATAGTGAACAGCTCAGAAGAAAAATAAATTGCCTCGTTTGAAGTAAACAATAAACATTAAAGAGTCAAAGTCTTTGAATATAGTGAGTCAAGGCCCAAACCTATAGAACGAGGACTCTAACCATGACATTGTGCTAAATATCAACCATCCATGCTGGGGGAAAAAACTTAAAGATTAAAAACACGAACAGATGCTTGCTGCTAAATGTAAGGCAAAACTTGGCAATTTTTTTTTTCGCATACATCAAGAAACATCATCTTTTGATGACGTCCTAGAAATACCTACTTAAGTTAATGACATATATAGTCACACACACACACACGCACAGAACATATACATTATATAAATAAAATACGAAACTATTTTGTAAACACAAAACTTACTGCAAGAAATATCTCTCTTTTTCTATTTAAAACAAAATGTGTTGTTTTTTATTATTGATTTATGTGTTGTCTTTGACAATAAATATTTGTGCAAAGTTTCAGCTTGATCCAAGCATGGGAAGTGGAAGATGTAACGAGGTATAAAATTTGTACTAGACAGACAGGCAGACAGACAGAGAGACAGACAGAGTGAGTTGATATAAAGCTTTATAAAAAAAATACAACTATACTTAGTTACCTAGACAAAAAAACAGTATTTTGTACTTGCTATACAATACCCTCGTAGGCGTCTTTTATTCTGTTCTTCATGGCCAAATGTTAGAGAATAGAATGACATTTCATGACATTTTATTTGTCATAAGAGATTGTGGTCTGTCATGTCCTAATTATATTTGATATGTAAGTCTTCAAGTCAGGTACTGATATTGTTAGAGATCATTGTTAAATTAGACAATGAAAAAAACAAAAAAACAACCAAGGTTGGGTTTGAAAGTTTAAAGTGTACAGCTGGGGAGTAGTTATGTTTTCTAGTTCTATTAGGCGCAGTCAAGAATCTTGAATGGAAGAATAAAACACAAAAACAAAGCCTAATAAAATACCTAAAATACACAAAGATAGAGGCACATTTCTTATTCCATATGCTAGGACAAATTCGAAGTGTTCATTCATCCCTAGTGCCATTAGAAAATGGAATGGGTTGTCTTAATCAGCCAGGATAACCAACGACTTAACTAGATTGACATAGGGGGCGCTGTGGCTGAGTGGTTAAGCGCTTGGCTTCTGAACCTGGGGTCATGGGTTCGAATTTCGGCGAAGACTGGGATTTTAAATTTCGGGATTTTTAAGGCGCACCCGATTCCACCCAACTCTAATGGGTACCTGATGGGGAAAATAAAGGCGGTTGGTCGTTGTGCTGGCCACATGACATTCTGCTTGTTAATCATTGACCAACGAAGCAGATGACATTAACATCATCTGCCCTAGAGATCGCAGGGTCTGAAAAGGGAAACTTGACTTACTTTTATGAAATGCATAGCAGCTAACTATTTTTTTTTAAAGTAACATCTGTAATTTACAAAATAAGATTTTTCTGAGTCACTCAAACTTAATTATCGATATTTACCTTTCGGTACCCCTAATTATTGCGGCTAATATGAACTGTTTTAAAGTCAACACTCATGCTGGGGAAAAATCACAATACTGGGAAGAGACGAAAGCTGAGCTGATTCGATCATATTGTAAGACCTGACCTACTTTCAGAAGTCATCCTTCAAGCGTCATCCAAAGAAAAGCTGATTCTCTTGAAACCCGCTGACCGGGTAAAAGTGGAGGGATTTAGTTACGCGAGCTGTCACAGCACAACTAAGAAATAAGCCAAGAGACAGACGTATGTAGACCTAAGTATGACGTATGTAGACCTAAGTATGACGTATGTAGACCTAAGTGTCGATCACAATAAAATTTAAATGAACTGGCACCCAAACCTTTTTGATCTGAAGGTCACATGAACGCGTATCCTGGGCCGCAGAACCAAGCCTTAGAAGTTAGAACCAGCCTAGGCGATCTCATTATTCACAATGGCCAGAAGTTTCGAGTGATTGAAAAGGACTGCGTTACGGGCCAGACATGACTCACTGAACCGGAGAAACACACTGCATGTTGCCAGAATTTTTGGAAGACCTTGGTCCGGCACCTTCGACACGGAGGTCACGCTTGGTCACGCCGACTGACGTTGAAGCTTTCCAGAAAGGCTCTCGAGTAGGCCGACTAGATATAGATCTAGTCTAATCCGCCGTTCCTCGCAGAAATAACAAAGGTTTTTCAAAAGACGTGCGCTGGGGAGGGGGCTTTGTTCGACTGTAGCCTCCTTACAATAGTTGGTGGTACATAAGCGCAGTGCAGAACGGAACACTGTCCTATTGGGGCATACTTTGCCCGGTTCCGCACGAACTTTGACTCCCGATGCCGTCACTGTGGAGAGAGCGTCGAAACAGTGTCGCATGTCTTGTACGAGTGTCCCCAGCTCCGCGAGCTAAGGGGTACCTGTCTGTGCAGTCACTCGATTTTTAAGGTAGCTATGAGGCACTACGCCGGACAGCTAAGTTTCTTGCCAGAGCACTACGGGAGGACTAGTCCTTCCTGCTCTGATTTTTCAATAGGAGTTCATCTCAGGTGGTACAGATTATGCAGATCCAGTGCGTTGTTCGCCATTCGGCCGCGATTTCGAGAAGAAATAATGCTTAAGATTTTTTTTTAAAAAAGGCTTCACAGTGTTTAACAAACGATGTCCTTTGAAGAGTTTTGTTTCATGTGTTTGTAAAAAGAAAGAGGATAGAGAAGAGGAAGTTCCAGAAGGGATCAAGGAAGAAACCAGGAGGCAGGAGTTGCTGACGTCTCATGTCACGAAGGGTCGTCTCCTTCATCCTCGTTCTCATCACCGGTATTATGTTGGAGCGTTCAGATAAATGGACCAATATACTTAGATAAACTGCGCAGTGGTTTCTAAATCAGGCAGCTCTCCATATAGTTTTCTTTCTATATGGGTGTTTTGGGGTCAGTTTGGGCCTCTTGGTGACGTTTTGAAGGAGATGGTCAGCATTCTTTCCTTTTCTTGAAAAAAAATGTTTTATACCCGTACTAAAGCAATATGGGTTGGAGATTTTCAAACATGGAGGCAAACTAAAAATAGCAAGCATTTTGGTGTATCTGGTGCGCAGAATAAGAAAGAATTGATATTTCAAAGTTGCTTTCTGTACGCTGTGTGCATTTTGTCGTGCACGTTGAGAGATGAGGTCAAGTGTTAGTAACGTTATGGTAGGCCAACCTTTTTTACTTCAATAATTTAAGACTAGGACTAAGACTGCTTTATTGATCCTTATGGAAATCTATTGTGATTGCAAGGTCTCTTTTCTCATATACAGACAACACAACAGAAACATGCATATAAATTGACAGACACAACATAAAAGAGTTCATTCAGCGACTACACGCAGGCATTTTTCATGTTTTCTGATCAAAGTGTGGCGTTGATAAAAGTCTGACCAAGTAAGGTACGAGCTCCTGAAAATGAGATCGTCTCTAAAGAGGTTTTGGGCACCAGAAGAAATAGATGTAGTATTTCATAAATTTATAGACGTGATCTTGGTAATGACATCCTCTATTGTATATGATTGTTTCTTTCATGTGTGGTCTGAACAGCCCAATTAATAAGTCGCAAGAGTTGGTACACAAACAGCCTGTACAATTGCACTGTTTAAGAGAGCCCAGGATATAGCATCCAATGCTTAAACAACCTGGCCAACACCTCACATAAAAACAAACGGAAATCTTGAACTTAACAACACAATGAAACTGAAATCCACATTTTTATTTGCATTCAATGAAAACATTGATAAACATATTTAGATCTCTAAGGAATAGATATTATAAACATTTATCATATTATATATTTTTTTAAACAATATTTTTACAAAATCTAACATATGTAAATAATAATAGATGATATAAATATCTATTATTCAGAGGAATGGACAACAGTCAATATTTGTTAAACATTGGACGGAGTTCACACACTATCACTAAAAAAAATCATGATAGTACAAAAGTATAAAAAAGAATCATCCGTGAAAATGAACGAAATGTGCCAAAAATAAAAAACTCAAAATCATTCAGTGAAACTGAGACTATATCATGTCTTTGTGTTAGAAAGTTGATCTTTAACCTTTCAGGCTATGTGATCTAAAGGGCAAATCTAGCAGAGCACTGGTAACAGAGTTGTATTTTTGTCTATCATAAAGACAAATGTTTTCCCCAAGTGTTTCCAAAATTCATGCAGAGATATTGACACCAGTCTACACAATCAAAACGTTTTCTACTGAACTTGGTTACTCTAGAAGAGGCATAATCTGTTGCTGTGACACGCTATTGATTTTTGGAGCCTATGGAAGCTACTAAGTAAAAAGAAAATTTGTTAATATAAATAAGTAAACAATTAGATAATTTGATATTCTCATCAGGAGTCAAGCCTGAGACATTCTTTGATTGGTGGCTGCAGTCTAAATCTTGACCAGCAAAGTCTTACATGTTTTTCCGTTAGTAAGCTGACCTTTAACCTTTCAGGCCATGTGAATCGAAAGGGTATTTGGTCATTCTTCCAGTCGTGTCTTCTTACAAACAAGAGAGATAACAAACTTTAAGTGTCGCAATCTTTATTTTAAGACAGACATTTCTCTCTCCATGAAAAACTTAATGGTATAAGATGGCTTGCTGGACAGAATCATTTTACATTACCAGGAGTCAAGTCTATGTCACCTTCAACCATTAGCTATAGAGCAATGAGTTCAAACATAGATTTTTTTCTGTACTTTTAAGCTGCAATCTTGACCTTTAACCTCTATGTTTAATCAATAACTCCCTATAAATAAACTAAAACCAGAAAACAAAATAAGACTTGAACCAAAATACAAGTTCCTGTCTAGATCACAAGAAAAAAACTTCACAAAAACAATCTCATTGGTGTCAGTTAATGAAATTCCTTCAAATTCACACTAGTTCCTAAATGAGTTTGAATATTAGTTTCCACTAGTCCAAGCTCCACATTGTTTCAACTAGAGCCTTTAGAAATATTTTTTATCCTGGAACTTCCTAAGCTAATAATCTGTTAGGAATATTTGTTTTCTTTACATCTAGCATAATAAGTTTCACAAAGTGACCTCCCCTGTAGATGTTGGATGCATTCATTCTACTCTCTTCAGTTTTCTGTGGCCTGAAAAGTACAATTATTATATTGAAAACTTTTCAAAATATTTGTATAAAAAAAAATAGCAATGAAAAAAAAAAAAAAGCAAAACATCTTTCAATAATTGTCCCTCTGAGGGACGCTGGTCATAGAAGAGAGTATAAGAATAAAAAAGTCCAGTCCTTAGACAGAGTCATCTTCTACTTTGATCCTAAAAAAATACTCTTTTTTTTTCAAATGATTGGTTTTGCAGGCAGCTTTTATTTTATTAATAGAGTCCTGATTTAAAACAAAAAAAAAGTTTGAAATCCATTGAATCAACCTTTTGTCAATATTTTGATGTATACATGACACCCACACTCTGGTTTAAAGTTTAGGGTCAAAAGGGTATCTAGGTAATCAGAATGTGTAGATATAATTTCCATTTCGCGATGAAAAGGATGGAATGCTATTGAAAAATTCAATTCAATATTTCAAACTCACCACCCATCAAATATATAATCAACTCACCACTTGTTGTTTCATTAAACAATAAGGACCTATCACAGTGAAAGCAACTTCTTCCATGTTAAATGGCTCATACACAAAGTCTTCAGACAGAAGGGCAGCCAGTGTTGTCCGAGTGGCTCGCTTCATTTCCATAAATCTGTTGATATGTTCCTGACGCAGCTGTGTACAATCAACATGGTGTAATATGAAATATAGATGGTACAGCAGCCTATCCTACATCAACATTGTCAGTCCCTACTCAAAGCATTGTTCTACCATATCACAATTTATCTATCCATTAAAAATAAAGTGAAGTGAACCAGTTAACTATCAGTATAAGAGACAAGTTTACAAAAAGTATATAAAAATTAAACACCTAACCCAAAAAGTAAGCAGACAGCTGCAGAGTGAATACATCAACAATGTAATATCTAAAGATAACAACAAAAACCTATGGTCATACATTAAGTCTAAGAAAATGGAAACAACAGGCATAGCGCCATTAAAAGATGAACATAACATAATACATAATGATAATGAAACTAAAGCAAACATCCTAAACAAATACTTTGCATCAGCATTCTCAGCCCCAGGAGACAAAGACATATTTCTTAATTTGAGCCAAGTAGACAACATAGAAGATTTAGTAGTACAAGAAAATGGAATTAAAAAACTATTAGCCAACACCAAACCAAATAAAGCGTCTGGACCTGATGGTATTCCAGCTAGATTACTCAAAGAACTAAGCAATGAGCTAGCCCCAGTGTTCAAAATACTCTTTCAAGCATCGCTTAACCAGGGCAGAGTACCAAAGGACTGGAAAGAAGCTAATGTCACCCCCCTATTTAAAAAAGGAGAAAAATCTGATCCAGGAAACTACAGACCAGTATCACTTACCAGCATCACATGTAAAATACTAGAACACATAATATGTAGCAATATCATAAACCACTTAGACAAACATAATGTCCTCACCCCATACCAACATGGCTTTAGGAAATATAGATCATGTGAAACACAACTAATAGGACTAATTGATGATTTTTCAAAAGGTTTAGATAATAGTGAACAAATAGATGCTATCTTACTAGATTTTTCCAAGGCTTTTGACAAAGTTCACCACCATAGTTTGCTTAAAAAATTAAAATATTTCGGCATTAACGGTCCACTGCATCAGTGGATTAAAGATTTTCTGATAGGGAGAGAACAAACTGTAATAATAAATGGCTCTAAATCAACACCAATAACAGTAAACTCAGGTGTACCTCAAGGAACAGTTTTGGGTCCACTACTATTTTTAATTTACATAAATGATTTACCAAATTGCATTAGTTCAGGAACAAAAGTCAGATTATTTGCAGACGATTGCATAATATATAGAACAATAAAAACAAAACAAGACACAGATATTTTACAAAGAGAATTAGATGAATTACAGAAATGGGAATCAAATTGGAGCATGTCTTTCCACCCAGAAAAATGTCAGTTGTTAAGAGTAACAAAAAAACTAAAACAAATTAATTCCACTTATCTTATTCATGGCAAACCAGTAACACAGACTAAAAACTCAAAATACCTAGGTGTTATAATAAATGAAAAACTGTCATGGAATCCACATATTGATGAAACTATAAAAAAATCCAACAAAGCATTAGGGTTTATTAAAAGAAATTTCTATAAATCAAATAAGAACATAAAACTAAAATGTTATTTAACCTTGGTTAGGCCAATAATAGAATATGCATCCACCGTGTGGGACCCCTCAACTCAAGAAAACATTAAGAAACTGGAACAAACACAAAATAGAGCAGTGAGATTCATAACAAACGAATATTCACATTTGACTAGGGTAACACCATTAGTAAAATCACTAAATTTAGAAAGCCTTCAGGACAGAAGACTCAAAAGTAAAGTAGCAATTATACATAAAACACTGAACCATAATCTTCAAATACAAAAACAAAATTTAATAAAATACTCTGAAAGACACAAAAATAAAGGCACATTCCTCGTCCCATATGCTAGGACAAATTTGTACAAATACTCCTTCTTCCCTAGTGCTATTAGAGCATGGAATGGGTTGCCTGAGCTAGCCAGAAAAACCAGTGACTTGGCAGAATTTAAGTCATTGGTTAATATGCATGACTAAATGCATGACGCGTAGGACGTAATCATCTTCTTTTTTGAAGTAACGTCTGTATTATATAAGATAAGATAAGATAAGTGAAGTAAATATCACTTGGGATTCAAATGAACCACACAACCCAATTAGAAACTCCATTTAGTGAGACTTCAACTAGTTGCTTTAATAAGAGTGAGCATGCAATATTTAGAGTGATATATATATATATATGTAAAATGACATGGGAGCAGATGAAGAAAGCTGCTCAGAACTGAGTTCGGTGGAGAGGTGTGGTTGCGGCCCTATGCCCCCCTGGGAGTGCACAGGATTAAGTCAAGTCAGAATGATAAAGCCCATAAATAAAACATTAAATACAAATGAGTTAAGCTATGATGTTGCTAACAAACTTCAATGTAATCTATTTGGTAGACAACACTATGTCACAGTACCTTCACTTTGTCAAAAATAATGTTATATTCTAATTTAGACTTAATGAGTGACATGATCTGTTTGAGGCTGTATGTGATGATAAATGTTTGAGTGCCAGATGATGTCTTGATGTCACGATGAGATTGTGCTGATCAGACGTTTCTGATTTTATAATATTTTTAGCTCTCTCCTTTAGACAATTTCTGAATTCTTAAAACAATATCATGATGCCAGAGAGAGTAAACTCAACTGAAATCATCTTTGAAATATATACAAAGCTTTCATTCTGGAACTAGGAATCACTTTAAGAATATACACACTACATAAAGGTTCAGTACAATTCAACTAAAAATGTTTTACTCTAGTCATCGCTCTCTTTAAACTGAATATATCTGTCCTTTAAATTTTACCTTTCCCCATTTTTAGTGTCGTCCAAATTATTTTAGAGCTTATAGGAGCTTTTAGGCTGAGAGACATCATTGTACTAATTTTAAGTTAATTGCAGTGTTGGAAGTAGCTGTCAATGAATAAAATGAGTTCAAATGAACTGAACTCAAATCTCCTGAACTTACTTTTAGAATGTCGACATCCCCCATGGTGTAGTCTGGCAATGTGGCAAGGGAGCTAATAGAATACACTGTTTCCATGAAGACATCTTTAAAAAGCTTTTTCATGTATTCTTCATCTCTCTGTTGATGAATGGAAATGTTGGGTCAAAAACTGATGTAGGACCAATAATGTATGTAGTATCAATGATGTTTGTAGTATCAATGATGTATCTATTGTCAATGATGTATGTTTAACATGTGATTGATGTATGTAGTATCAATGATGTATGTGTTGTCAATGATATATTTAGCATCAAAGATGTATCTATTGCCAATGATGTATGCAGTATCCAATGATGTATCTATTGTCAATGATGTATCTATTGTCAATGATGTAAGTAGTATCAATTGTAAATGATGTAAGTAGTATCAATGATGTATCAATTGTCAATGATGTATTAATTTTACATGATGTTTAA